GGGACGACTGTGGTACGTTCAACGCCAGTCAGCAAAGCGGTCTCCGATTTCTGTCTATCGAATCAGCAAACCATTAAACGTTAATTGAGTTCATCTCTTTGAGCTGAAATTCGGGGCACCGTTTTCTGTCAGGGTCTTTAAGTAGACCCTAATGCGTACACGCACGCACGCAAGCTATGCTGTGACAGCAGGTCATTGAATTCCTCCCTCACGCTACCTCCTGGAATCTTCCGTTACCCTAAAGGTCTATAATTACAAAGATTATAAATGACAGTGAAATTAAAGCCACGCATAAAGGAATCTCGCGTCTTATGCTGTATCTGCGTGTGGATGGTTTAAGAAGGGCTGCCTTAGCACGCAACTATTTCCAGAACCCGGGTGAGAAATAGTACCCATTACGATATGACATGAGCTATACATACAGCGGAGTGATACAGTACCATGTCTGTGCGATAATGTGGAACGCTGGTCGCCATAATATTTCTTTGCCTCATTCAACATTTGTGTTTCAGAGACTCATTCATGTTGACTTGATGAAAGCGATTCCCTGCTCTAATGTGACTTGTCAGATTTCAGTACTCGCAATTAGTAACTTCCAGAAATAAGGTACGTAGCTAAATTTGCGTAATTTAACACGGATTTCTTCGACTAGAAATTGCTACATTCCAGGCCATTTTCAAGTAGTATACCAGTACAGTGTCAAAGTTGACGCTTAGTGCCATCTACTGGACAACAACCACACTTACAATGGATATGTAATGTATATGTACGGAATAAAATAAATTAAATTAAAATATTGACAAACTCTTAATAAAAAATAATTTCCTCTTTGGATGCGGGCGGACATCCACAGAATTAACCAATTGATTCTTGAAATGGAGAAGCGTGGTGTTTTCTTTGAAATAAGAACTGTATTTTAAACTGAATAAAAATTTACTTGGATATTATCCATAGTCTAGTAAATATAAAACGTAAAACGACGTTTCGGAGATGGGACTCTATCTCCGTCTTCAGGTTCCTACACAGTTGGGCCCACTATATAGAGCTAATCCCTATCTCCGGACGGTCCGGAGATAGAGTCCCATCTCCGAAACGTCGTTTTAGGTTTTATATTTACTAGACTATGGATAATATCCAAGAAAATTTGTATTCAATTGACTCTTCACCATCGTCAAGAAGTTTTAGATTTGATATGTATTTTAAACATTTATTATGTTCATGAATTTCTGTTCCAAAGGAAAAAATGTACATTTTTACACTAATTTTAACAAATAATTTTACAATAAAATGTAATTACATGCCGTTATATTTCAACGGGAATTGCACTACTATAAACATACCACTAAAATAAAAAATAATCTCGTGGTCTTATAGAATATGCTGTTTCATTCCATTACATACCAAGGCAAGGATTTTATGTGCTGAACGTAACATAATCGAATGTGTTCTGTGCTTTAGGGAAAAAGATAGTGCGCCTATTTATCTGTGTTATTATCTTCTTCACAATTTATGTCCGACTGCGTATGACGATGATGGCAGGTTAATAAGACGGTTCACACTAGCTCCAACTAATCACGTAGCACGAAGAAGGTTTATGTTCGTGCGTTATCGCGTGGCAGACATATTGGCGCCCCCCATCAACCGTACACTCTGTTCACCATCACAAAGGATAGGACCCATGATGATAATTTTCAAATTTCTACGATCGTGCGCAAATAAAACTTTAACGTTGAGGTTGCTGTTTAAGTATGATTTGAGGTTATTTAAGTTCAAAAGCATGGTGACAGCTGAAGCCCTATATTGCGTCGATATCATGCGTCATTGTCTCAGTGTGTCACTTAATGGATTTAG